AATGTGGGGCGGATCTAGCTTGAAGACCATGAAATTATGACCTTTAGATTGTTAAATTCTCCTGTAACATTCAGAGACAAACATTTTATGTCATTATTTATATGAATAAAATGACTTTTAAACAAAGATAAAAAAGTATATGGAAACACCTGGTTTTAAATAATGGGAAAATGACTAGGAATGTAAACATGGTAAAAAAAAAATTATACAGTAACAAAAAAAAGTAAATTCGTCCTACTTGGACTCATATAAAATATAAACATATAAAAAATCTATAGATCTACAAAATAAACATAATAATAATATAGTACCTTCACTACCTTGATATTACAATATAAATCACCCCCTCACTTTCTAGTGGAAATGTGCATATCTCTCTCTCTCTCTCTCTCTCTCTCCCTCTCTGCAAAATCTCAGGATGCAAATTTATGTGCATCCTTTTTCTCTCTCTCATTGCAGTCTTTGGCAAATTCTCTCTCTCTCTCTCTCTCTCTCTCTCTCTCTCTCTCTCTCTCTCTCTCTCTCTCTCTCTCTCTCTCTCTCTTATTGCAAATTCTAAAATTCTATAGTAAATTTATGTGCATCTTAAAATGATATAAAGTATGTCCAACTTAATTAGTATGTAAACTTTTATATTAAAAAAAAACAACAAAGGTCCTACTTTGGATATGTAAAACAACTTCACATTCTATGAAATGAACTTTGATACAAAGAATCATATGTGATGCATACATGTACACTTTATGATAAGGAGACATCAATGACCGACTTTTCACCCAATTCAGGCATATTCTCAATATGCTGCTCTATAACAGTCAATGCTGCATGGAAGTTTTTGGGACACACTAGCTTTGTATTGGCAGGGTATAACAACACCTCCTCCTTTTTCCAGCACACGGGGCCACATTTTCTACATAAAGAAAAGCTATAATCATGATAATATTGAAAAAGCACAATGTAAACATTGACATGTGACGTACCAAAACACGAAGCTCTAGAAACACACGTGACCCGAAATACACTAAACCGAAGGGGGTTAGGAATACACCACTACCTCAATAGATTTTATTGCAACCAGAACTTGTTTAGTTGCATTGGAAAGCGTATAAATTTTCCTTTCCAGCAGTATATAACATGTATTTTTTTATCAGACGTAAACTTCACATCATCGAAGAAAAAAAGATGTCTCCGTTGTTGACATGCAAAATTCTCTGATCAGGAAACATACGGCAATTAATCAACGTATAAATTAAGACATCTATTTTCAATATTTTCCTTTGTAACTGTGTGAATGCATATAACATACCTTGCTGGACGTGACTGCAATAGCTTTTTGTTTTTCTTTTACGTTTTGCGCGAACTGTGTCAAGAAAACCCCGATGACTCCCGAAAATCGGGGTGACCCGAAATACCCTAAATGACTGTAACTGTAACATTTCACTTATCTTTCTCCGAGAATAACCTTTCTGCATTAACTCCACAATGATGTTTTTCACATCTGACCCCATTTCTTTTCCTTTCCGACCCATCTTTTTTACTCTTGCTAAAATTGCTCTAAATTTGTAAACAGCAGACGAAAATATTGTCATGTGATTTATCATGTGACCAATTTTTCTAAATTTATACAAATCTACTTCCTGTGATATGAAGAGGGCAAGGTCATTTTCTTTTTTAATACCATGGTAAGTGTAAACACGCCGCCATTTTTGACCGAATACTTTTTGCACGTGACTGTAGATTATTTCCAGAAGTTATTGTTCTACTCTAAATATACGCTAAAAAGAACCAAAAATGTCAAACCACATTCGAAATCAACCTGTATTTAATTTATATGACTTGTATCTTTAAGATGAAGGCAAATTCATTGTAATTCATCTCGCATAAAAAATTATACAGGAGCACAATGTAAGTTTCACCCCGTTTTTCTTGTCGTAATTTTTACAATTCCGACATGTATAACAGGTAATATCTTAAAAAGTCTTTGTGTGAAAATGTGGTAATTCATATTTTTTTAAGAAATGACCCCTTTCTTTATTTTAACGAGGAAAAAAGTATACCTTTATGATAAAATAAACGCGAAATATAACCTTTTCTGTTATTTTCGCACTCTTTGGTCATAAATAATGACCTTACTGCACTAAAAAAAAAAGGTAAGTTAGCATTGACAAACTTCTAAATATAAAACTATTTTGCAAAAAACGAGTATTTTGTTTTGATAAGAAATAATTTAAACATATATACTCTTTTTTCTTCATTCTTATCATTCTGCCCCCCCCCCCCCCTCTCCGTCAACAACCAACACCTAATAGGAATGACTTTATACAATAAAATCTACATACACTAAAAATCAATAAGTAAAAATAGGTACAAGTACATTTCCTTTTTTTTTTAGTTTTATCCAGAAAATACAGTTAATGGTAATCATGAAATTTAACATATCTCCCTAATTTAAGCTGCTGTCTTTGCTGAATTTTATCTTACATTTTTTGCATTTTTATATCAGCATATCATAGAGGTATTTCTTCACAACAGAAATTTTTATGAATTTTCAACCAAAGGAAGAGAAATCTGATATTAACAAACTCCATACATGAAATAAAACTGTTTTAAATGATGAAAAAAAAATCTTTTTGTACAATGTGTGCGTTTTTGATTAATAACAATGTTACGCCTATAATCACAGTTGCAAAAGTCAGCGGGAAAAAACAAACGTCGCTATAGTGACGTCATATAACGCTGCTTTGACGTCGAACGACATAGGTCCCTCCTTAAATAAATCAAGATTGTGCATATTTTTATTAATGAAAATTGCAAAGGTGAATGAAAACTTGTTTTCACTTGTAAAAATTAAGAATGATTCTTGTTTTCAAACGCAGCGAAAAATTACGATGAAAATTAAGGAGAAACTAAGCTGATAACACTTTTTGCATGTCATGGATAATATGGGGCGCCGTTTTGGTATTTACTGCCAAAAAGTGATATCACCTATTCGAATAGGTGATATCACTTTTTCGAATAGGTGATATCACCTATTCAAATAGGTGATATCACCTATTCATTTTCAATAGGTGATATCACCTATTCGAAAAGGTGATATCACTTATTCGTATAGGTGATATCACCTATTCGAATAGGTGATATCACCTATTGGAAATGAATAGGTGATATCACCTATTCGAATAAGTGATATCACCTATTCGTGCTGAATAGGTGATATCACCTATTCGAATAAGTGATATCACCTATTTGAATAGGTGATATCACCCATTCAATTTGAATTGGTGATATCACCTATTCGAATAGGTGATATCACTTATTAGAATTTCTTACAACATTAAATAATGAATGCTCCCTAAGATATATAGATTACCACTGAAATCAAGAAAATTCGGACTACCCAGTTTTCATGCTTTTTTCCGAGTTTTCCATTTTTTCCTAAAGTTTACTTGATAGATAAGTGAAATAAATAAATTTGTGAGCTAAACAAACTACAATTTCTATAGGGGTTGATAAAAATTAAATGCAAAGTCTCCTAGAATGATGAGTTATAAAACGAAAGTGAAAGTAAATAAGATTTAGGGATATAGTCTTGGGGGCTGTTGTTATTTCATAAATAATTTGAATAGGTGATATCACCTATTCAAAAAGGTTATATCACCTATTCGAAGAGGTGATATCACCTATTCGAATAAGTGATATCACCTATTCGAAAGGAATAGGTGATATCACTTATTCAATTTGAATGTGATACATGTATCAAATAATGGAATAGGTGATATCACCTATTCAATTTGAATAGGTGATATCACTCATTCGAATAGGTGATATCACCTATTCGAATAAGTGATATCACCTATTCAAATAAGTGATATCACCTATTCAATTCAAATAAGTGATATCACCTATTCGAATAAGTGATATCACTTATTGGAATAGGTGATATCACCTATTCGAACAGGTGATATCACATATTCAAAATCTGAATAGGTGATATCACCTTTTCGAATAGGTGATATCACCTATTCGAATAGGTTATATCACTTTTTGACAGTAAATACCAAAACGGCTCCCCATAGGATAACTAAGGATGAAAACAAAATATCTGATAAGAAACAACCTTATCTGGTCAAGAATTAAAGTATTAAGATTCGTGGGTTGCATTTTTACCTTCGTTCGAGGTCACAGGTGTAAAAAATAGTTTTGAAAGAAATGCATATGAAAGCAAGAATTTAATATTTTGTTTACAGTTTTTTTATTATAACCTAAATTAACTTAAAATACACACATACTAGTATGAAATTTAACTTTACAAAACCATCGTTATCGTGATTTTTTCACAATAGGTTACAGAATGTACAATTGCTTAAAATTGGACCACGCGACTTTTGATACACAGTAAACAGTAACTGTTACTAATTGACATGATTCCATAATGATTATTTTTTTCTACAAAGAACCCAAGTCGTTGTTGTTGTACATGTGACGTACAACATACAGTAGATTTTTACAAAAGTCGGTCTGCGAGATATCTTCTTGTCTGATATGAAATATAAGTCTGAAATTACAAAATTTTACAATTATCATTAACTACTATTGATATTTTTTTTATTTACGATGTCGAATTCTCCTAATTTTATAATGAACAGTAGACCATCAAGCTGTACAGGTACATTGTAATACACAAGGACTTCCTGTGTATACTGTTTGTGTATAGGGATTAGCGCTTCCCACGGTCTGCACGACCGTCAATGCCTCGGGTACCATGCAAGTAAAATTTAGTCCCTCCCCTTACCTGAGAAAACCGTACGGTTAAAAATCTCGGCCTTTAACTGAAAATCAAACTTAGTATAAATATTCAAACAAGTACTTCCCTTGACCTTACCATTACATTATAATTGTTCCCTTTGCTTACAACATTACATTCAGGAAATCTAAATTTCTCATTCACAGAAAATCAAACTTGGTTATAATGCTCAAACAAGTCCTGTCCTTGACCTTACCTTGACGTTATACTTGATCCCCTCACTGATGAACTCCACGTCCACATGGTTCTTGAGTGACGTGGCCGGCAGGATCTGTCCGCGCTCCAGCGAGGTCTGGAACATCTGGAAGCACTCCTGGATCTGGTGGTCCCCGATGTGGAGCGCTCCAGATATCACTCCCAGCATGACGTCCGGCTTCTCTGCCTGGACGTTCTCAGATATCAGCTTGTCCAGCCAGCCCGTCGTTATCTTGTTGTTTTGGTACTCCTCCGTTTCGAAGAGTTTGATGAGGTATTCCACAGTGGTTCGGAAGTCTCCGCGGATTGAGAGCTCCTTCAATGCCACAACTAAATTCCTGTCATTTGATTAAAATGAAATATTTAAAAAATGCTTTCTTCCATTTTTTTGTTCATTAAAATATTGACTATTCATTATAACTCATTTTAATTTTTCCATATTAATTCTTCAATTATATCATGCCATTCATTAGATATTTCAATGAGGAAAACTTAAAATGGTTGGTGAAAATAAATTGATACTTATAGTAAATTGATTCAAACAAATAGATTCTGAAGCGTTTTTTTTTCCCCGGGTAAGAATTGCAATTAATTAGAAACTGTCAAAACTATATCCCCCTCCTCCTGTCCCCGACCCCTTCTCCAATCCCCCCACTCACTCTCTGGCGTCCTCCCTGTTCTCTCCCCAGGAGAAGCAGTGTCCAAACTGGGAGTCAGCGTACTCATGTAGTCCCCCCGTGGCAGACACACTAAAGTACCCCCACACGTTCTTACTGCTACGGAAATTCAACTCCTGGACAGTCCCAGAACTAGGCTTAAATCCCTGAAAACAAGGATTTCAATACAGTATATACTAAGTAATTATACATATTAATTAAAGTTATCACCTTCATGATAGTGGATTCCAGGAATATTTATCCCAGCAAACTACTGTTTTTTAATTAGCATAAGAAAGGAAACCTTTTTTCAACTCTGTTTTCTGTAACAGTAAAACTCAGTTAGTACACTGTAAAAAATGATGTTTAACTTGTGTTTAATTTTTAAACAGTCGTGTTTTACAATTAAACATAGTAGGTTTAAAAACAAAACACAAGCGTTTAATATATAAACACTGATGTTTAAACTGGTGTTCAATAAGTAGGGTGTTTAATCATCCGTCTTAAACACGAAATGTTCATATGCATCAAATCAAAAAATAAATTATGTGTTGCCTCTTAATATTTGCTGCATGCTGCATAGGGGTCTGTATAGCCCAACTGCCAAGAGGGGGGGAGGGGTCAGGGATGGGAGGAGTCTCAGATATAGCCCCCACTTGCCAAG